CAATTTTTCGATTTCCCGAAAGGCATCCGAGTCTACATCCCGAGTAGGCAGGAAAAAATTTGTCCCACACATTATATATATGAATTGGATATTGTAGGGGTTCTTTTTGACAAGTAATAAAATAGTAATAAAAAAAAAGATATCAGTAATACAAATACGAAGGAAAACAGAGGAGATGCTCAGTGTAGGAGGAGGAGAAGAAGACCAATTAACTAGATTCAGATGGTGGTAGGGCGAATACACAATGTGACAGCATTTTCTTTTTGTTCGGAAAGTCCCCCCACTTTCTTCATAGGACAGTGCTATTTATAGATCGAGATTCCATTGGTCATTATCCAATGGTCCCTTCTATGCATGGTTTCTCACATGCATCATCCCCAATCCGGATTACCCGAGTAATCCTGCAGATTTAGAGGGCTGAAGGGTCTAATCATTTCCTCAAGCCTTGTCCCATGTTGTCATGTCACTTCTCCCCTAATCAGGGGCATTAAATGTTGCTTGGCCGTCGGTTGGTCAAGCCTGACACATCATTAATTGTGATTTTAAGGTTTGCTGTCATAACGTGTATAATCCCATCATCTTGTTAATTGGGCCTTGCTAAGAGTGAAGGCACTTCTTGACTTCTCATCCACCAATCCAAGATCCTCCTAGGTTTCCCAAATATGGACTCCTATAACACACAAATCCTACCTCATCTTGTGCTAAGGAGCTCCGATCTCTCAAGACGGTGTCACCTGGCGTAACACCAGGATTCGGAATGCTCGAAGATCAGCCTCTCGAGGCTTACTGGGCCTGGGGCGATGCCAGGGCTTAGAGTGCTCGAGATTTGATCTTTCGAGGCTTGAGGGCCTGGAGCGATGCCAGGGCTTAGAGTGCTCGAGATTTGATCATTCGAGGCTTGGGGGCCTAGCGCGATGCCAGGGCTTAGGGTGCTCGAGATTTGATCATTCGAGACTTGGGGGCCTGGCGCGATGCCAGAGCTTAGGGTGCTCGAGATTTGATCTTTCGAGACTTGAGTGCCTGGAGCGATGCCAGGGCTTAAAGTGCTCGATCTTTCGAGGCTTTTGACTTTTCAACTTGCCACAGAGGACTTAGCCAGGGTTGTATTGACTTGTCAACGTGTCACATCAGCGTCTGATAAGTGACACCCACATATATTAACCTCACGTAATAACTTATTATTTTGACATGATTTATAATTCAAGACCGACAATAACAAGTTATAATCTATGAATCTTGACAATAAAATTGGATAGTTAAAGACAGAGAGGCAGATGCTGTATGTATTGGATAAGATATGATGGGTGAAGTTGAGTGTTGATGCGATGAACACGCCGAAATTAACGGCACCAGTCTAACATTGTCATAGTCCACTGCTCCTGGTGGGAATGCACTTAATTATAGCCCTCCATCTTCAAAATGTCTTCCGCATCGCACTCAACTCGATTCACACACACTTGTTAAACATTACTGTGTGTCATTTTTGTTAAACAATTCGGATGCTACCAGATTTTAATTTGGTTCCCTTCTCAAGCGGCACCGTTTGATGCACGGGATCTTCCTAGAGGAAGAGTTACCCAAAAAAAAAAAAAAAAAAAAAAAAACCTCAGGTGGTCCCATCTCAAAAATAATAATTTTTCATCCGCCAATGGTTTAGTCCCTCAATTATAAATTGTTATGACTTTTCATGTCCAAATTTGGATTATTGCATAAATTCTAGAATTTGTCAATTCACGGTTTTTGACTCGAAAGAAAGAAAAATGTATAAACATTGACATGGATAATATTTGTAAACTTGTAAAATTTATATAATCAAAATTCTTATGGAAAATGTATAAACATTGACATTTTAGGGGGCAAAAAAAAAAGGTCATTTTTGGGGGCAAGAATATATATATATAAAAGGTTATTAATTTTCATTTTTTATTTTCAAATATTCATTGTCCTGTTCCAATCATGTGGGTCCCTCAGCTCAATCTTGTCTAATTGTGAACTAATATCTTGTATGAATCGAAGTTTGTGGTTCCTGGATTAATATTACTAAATTAATACCCTTATATTCCTTTGGGCATGCTCTTCTGGATAATATCTAACCGAAATTGAGAGTGAACGTGCATGGCATAATTGGAAACATTATTTTAAAAACAACCTACTTAATGTCTCCTTGGTTCCCAGGGCTTGAGATTCTAAAATTTGGAGAGACCTTAGTCGAAATTTCAAAAGCGAGGTCTTTGTTTATTTTTTTTTGGTCGCTCCTTTTATTGGTTAATAAAATTTATAATGAATACAATTTTCTTATTTCTGTTGTAATAATTAATAAATTGTATGTTTATGGATCGCTTCTTTTATTTCTTTCTTTATTTATTTTTTACAATTCTTTCCTTTTCTTTGTTTACATACATATATATATATATATATATATATATATTATAGTTAACCAATGGATTAAAAAATCATTATCATCTACAATAATAAAAATTCAATAAAGAATACAACGATCGACAATTGAAGGGGAAAAAAAACGTAAAAAATTGGTTCGTGTGTGTGTATATATAAACACAATCGGGTAGTAAAAGATCGACGTATGAATTTGAAAAGGTAGTTTAGTCCTAAAAGATTAAGTTGGTTCTATGAAATAGGAAGATTAATATAGTAATGATAATTCAATCAATCAGACAGTTGTTATTTTTATTTTTATTTTTGGCTCATATCCTAAATTTGAGGCCCTAGCCATTGCCTGATCGTCCTTTGAAGTAATTATTATATATATATATATATATAATTATTATCTTCAAAGGACGATATATATATAATATAAAAATACTATCGTTTTATTTTTATTTTTTGAATTTTGCTAGTATTATATTTGGCGGTATTGAATCAGTGATTTAAATTTGAAATAAAAGAGAATTTAATACAAATTTTGAACTAAACTTCATACAATCCCAAATTCAAGTAACCGGATAATTACCCCCAAACATAACATGCACAACTATGATCTAAATTACAATATTGGTATTAATTCACAAAAGTAAAAATTTCCCAAAAAAGCTAACTTGATGTTTAAAGCAGAGTTCATTTCCTTTATAATCCATGTCATTCAACACCTTGGTAATTCTCTATTCGCAATCAATCACAAGTTAACTACCTATGGTTTAATTTTAAATAACAATATTCGTATTAATTAAGCAAACTTTAATTTCTCTTTTAGATAATAAAGATAGTAACTTGATGTTTAAATAAAGATTCCATTTCCTTTAAAGGAAATGAAATTATTGAAGATTTTAATACTCAATTTAAAATCGACATAGATAAAGATATGACGTATTATCTAAAATTTCAGTTTTCCATAACTATTTTTCTTATATTTTCAATTTTCATAGCTGTATCAGCAACTTCGTTTTCGTTTACACAGCAGTTTTCATACTACTCAAATATAAGAATTTGATTTGTACAAAATCTATAACAACAATTTTTCTTCTAAGTTTTATATCTTTGTTTTTGTCTCTTAGAGTCATCATTAAATTTGATCATTATAGTCGTGAATAAATACCTATCAAAGTAATAGATTGATATTAATAAATAAAGACACAATCTTCTATATATAACGAGGATTAATGTGATTATATATAAAATATGAGTAGTGATATTATCACTAAACATTTGCAGTGAATTGTCTAACCGAATAATTTTTAATTGATTATTTATATTAAATACAATTAAGTAAAGGACACAACCTCCTTATTTGTTGCATAATTAATTGATTATTTATATTAAATACAATTAAGTAAAGGACACAACCTCCTTATTTGTTGCATAATTGACTAATGAAAAGAGTAATTCTAGTAATTACAAGAATAATTTTTCATAAAACATATATACAAAATTTTCTTATTTGTTGCATAGTTGACCAATTAAAATAGTACGTCTAGTAATTCACTTCAACTATTCAATGCAAGAATTATTTTCCATAAAACATATATACAATTTGATATATATGGTGATTGAATAAAGATCCTATATTAAGATACCTAAAAAATTTACAAGTTTAAAAATAACAAGTTTCTAAGTAATTAATTACCTGATATTTTATAGGAAAAATTACATATAAATGGAGTCAAAGTTTCATATTTACTTAGAAACTGAGTCAAAGTTTCATATTTCTCTAAAATGGATTGCTAAGGTGGCACATGATTTTTTACTGTTTAGAAAATTGTGGTGCCTAAAATGTCCTTCCTTAACAAAAAAGTAGTACCTTCAGTGCAAAAAAGTAATACCTTCAGTTCAAAAAAGTAGTACCTTCGGAGAAAAAGTAGTACCTTCGTGGGTGTTTAAAAAACATGGTACCTGGACGCTAAAAAGTAGTACTTTCAGTTCAAAAAAGTAGTACCTTTGAAGAAAAAGTAGTACCTTCGCGGAAGGGTATTTTAGGCACCACAATTTCTAAACAGTAAAAAACCATGTGCCACCTCAGCAATCTATTTTAAAGAAATATGGAACTTTGACTCAGCCTCTAGGTAAATATGAAACTTTGACTCCATTTATATGTAATTTTCCCTATTTTATAATGTGTCTCATTATGTTTAATACATGTAGACTTGATAAAATAGTAAATTTTTGTTTGAAATAAATAGCAGGATTCTTCCTTTAATTCGTTATCATTCCGCGACTTGATGCGAAGTGTCAACAAAATCTTACTAATAAAAAATAAGTGTGTATATATATATATATTCGCACAAAAAGTTGGGTTAAAAACTAGGGAACTTTCTGCTAACCCTAAAAACTAGGCAACTTTCGTTTTTTATCCGAAGGTGAAAACTAGGTAACTTTCTGCTAACCCTTTTGGTACTTAACGAGAATAGGTTGGTGTGATTAACAAGTCAAAGAAACTATAATGGTGAACCAATCAAAATATAGTCAAATATAAAAGCATTAGGAGACAAATCAATATAGAGAGAGAAACATTTTTAGAGAGAGAAAGAGAGAGCGTGCAGTCACGACATCAACGCATAGAAGCACGTTAGATTGGCCCACGGTCGGTTATCTTCACCAGCCTCTTCCACCCCCCTTTCAATCCAAGTCTCTCTTTACCATTCGCACTCCAAAACCCCATTAACATATCCTTTTTTTTTTTTTTTTTTTTTGCGCCATACCTCTCTCTCTCTCTCTAAAACTTGATTCTTTGTTGTGTTTCTCTCTCATATGAAGACTCTGTGCCCCAACCTGGACCGAGAAGATGGACTGGAGACGGTGCTTGAAGTCCCAATCCCAGAAGAGACGTTTGGGTCCTCCAAACAAAACAGATCATGGCAAAACATGACATCATGGATGCGATCACACGTAGAAAGGTCACCCCAATCCGTCCTCGGAGCCAGAAGCACCGAGATCCAGCTCTTGCTTGGTGTCGCCGGAGCTCCGCTAATCCCTCTTCCCATCCCTTGCCTTCAACCCATCAACAAAAACAAAAGCATCAAAGACTATCCCATTGTAAGTCAATTATCATAACTTTCAACGTCCACAAATTATGTTACTTTTCTTAATTGGTGCACTTAAAAGTCTTCTTCATACATGTACAAGGATTTTTTTTTTTTTTTTTTTCACCATCTCGAGAACGTGATTGTTTCTAATTTTAATTCTTTGTGGATTGATTATGATGTGCAGGAGGCTTCAATGGCGAAATATATAGTGCAGCAGTATATAGCTGCGTGCGGGGGTGAGAAGGCGTTGAACTCGATTGACAGCATGTGTGCGACGGGGAAGGTGAAGATGCTGGCGTCGGAGTTTCTTGGCACAGATGGTGCAAGTGTTGGGTGTAGGCGGTTGAATAGTGGTGGTGGTGGTGATAAAGCAACGAAGGTGAAGAGTGGTGGAGGAGGAGGTGGAGGAGGAGGAGAGATGGGAGGGTTTGTGCTGTGGCAGAAGAGGCCAGACCTGTGGTGTCTGGAACTGGTGGTGGGAGGGTATAAGATTAGTGCTGGCAGTGATGGCAAAGTGGCATGGAGGCAAACTCCTTGGCAAAATTCCCATGCTTATCGTGGCCCGCCCCGTCCCCTTCGTCGTTTCCTACAGGTTCGTCCTTTCTACAAAATTTTTTGTTTTTTAGAACTGTTTTTAGAAAATTAAATTAAAAAAAAAAATAAGAATTATTTTTTATAATTTTCAGAAAACATTTTGTGAGTTAGTACGTTTACAAAAATTATTGAATTAAGTTATAGGTTAGGAGTATTACTTCTAAGGTAAGCAGCAATGTGAAACATGGGACAATTTTGAAAATTCGATTGTCATTCTGATATGTGGTGAGCAAAAGAGTAGACTAGTCTTCTCATAATTAATCTAAATTTTTTCATTTCTTTTTTCCTCCTTTCACATTGATTGATTATCATGTGTTCTTTTTCTCAGACTTTTGTAGTAATACCGGAAATTTATGTTCACTGTATTCAAATTATGTGTGGTCCCACTCTACTAATAATAGTTTAGTCCATGGTTAGAAAAATTTGTTATCTCAATTGTTTGTCTAAGTACAGTTGGTTTGAGTTATCACACGTGGCCCTGATTGAATTGGTGGACCGTAGGGCTTGGCTTGCACTAATTTAAACCAAGGCCTGTTTCCGTTTCTTAGTCCAAAGCCCTTCATTCTTTTATGTGTGGGCTACAGTCCAGCCCAAGTTACTTATAAAAAATAAAAAAAACAAAGGCATTGATATTAGGGGGAGAATCCTACCAAATCCCGCACCATACTCCGATGGCTCTGATGGGCACAATAATGAAATTGCTGTTTTAATAAATGATGCCAAGAGTGGTAGTGATATTGGGGAAGTAGAAAAATCTCAATCAAAATTTATAACAAATTATAAAATTAGACCAAATAGCTCCTAAACTTTTTTACTCCAGACAACTTATTCCTTCGAATCTAGAGGTAAATAAACAAGTACTCTCTTCAGAACACCCAACTTTCCTCTAGATGATCTGAAATTAAAAGAAGCACAAATAAATAATATGATGGATAATATTACACATGAATTATTATTATTCATAAAGCTAGAGTAATATAACTCATAACCAATTTATATATATTCTGAACAGGGTCTTTGTCCAAGGTCTACTGCCAATTTATTCTCCAATTCCATCTGCATGGGTGAGAAGACCATCAATGGTGAGGACTGCTTTGTTCTAAAACTCGATGCCGAATCGTCGGCTCTTAGAGCAAGAAGCAGCAGCACTGTAGAGATAATCCGGCACACGGTTTGGGGCAACTTCAGCCAGAGGACAGGCCTCTTAGTACAACTCGAGGATTCGCACCTTCTCAGGATCCAAACTTCACCACATGAGAGTGTCTTCTGGGAGACATCAATGGAGTCACTAATACAAGACTACAGGACCATTGATGGTGTTAACCTTGCCCATGCCGGTAGAACAGACGTTTCGTTGTTCAGGTTTGGTGAGAAGTCGGAGAGCCATTCCCGGACACGAATGGAAGAGGTGTGGACCATTGAAGAGGTAGACTTGAACATAAAGGGACTGTCCATGGACTGCTTCCTGCCTCCCGGAGACTTGAAGAAGGAGGAAGAAGGATGTGGTGGTGGTGGTGGTGGTGGTGGTGGTGCTACTGCTGCTAGCAGTGTCGTGAATCCGCGATTGGGATTAAGAAATCTATCCAAGTCTGGTAGGATTGGTTCTTCTAAAGTTATGGCTTTTGATGATGGGGATGATTCCGACAACACAGAAGGGGATGAATAGTTCCTAAAAGTGTCATACATTTGTGTAAATATTGCATGACACTACATTTTTTTTTTTTACATATATTTGTGTAGCTTAGCTACTAGTTAATGAACTGCTAAACGGTTAGAGTTTGAGAATCAATTATTAAGTGAATTGATGATAGGATTAGTTGATAGGTTTACCCATCTTCAATTCGAAGAGAGGTCGGACAAGGTACAAAAATTTTATGTTGTTATTTTTAAACATTGTCCTGTCAAAAGTTAATTTCTAGCACCCATAATGTGTGTAAATTTCTTGTTAGGATTTAAAAATATATATATTTGTCAAAAATTCTTGCCCAGTGATTTTGGCGTTCCAAAAAACATACTATGGGGTTCCATTTATTATTTTATTAAATTAAAATGACAGAATACACTCCAATCATGGCACTCCATTCATTATTTTAGTAGGGGACGAGAACTCCACTTGAAATGGATCTCGGCGCTTCTTATTACCGGTCAATTGGCATAATTTCTTCTCTTCAGAATAAGAGAGTGGTTGTACCAGAAAATAAAATAAAATAAAATAAAATAAAATAAAATGAATACTGAAATTGACAAGCACTTTTTCAGATCAGAGTACGATAATTGAAAAAATATTAACAAATCAAATGAATAAAAATAATAATAATAATAATGATGTTGATTTTGCATTTAAATTTATAATCAATCCGAAATTACTATAGATAAGAGTTTGAAATGATTAAACACAGGGTGTCCCGCCTCCGCAATTAATTAAAAATTACATTTAAAATTATATAATTATTAAAAATTTATAAAATAAATAGACAATAAATAATTTAATATAAATTAGACTTTTAGAGAGAGAAAGAGAGAGCGTGCAGTCACGACATCAAAGCAGAAGCACGTTAGATTGGCCCACGGTCGGTTGGTCATCTTCACCAGTCTCTTCCACCCCTCCCTTTGAATCCAAGTCTCTCTTTACCATTCTCACTCCAAAACCCCATTAACATATCCAATTCTTTTCTTCTTTTTTTTTTTTTTTTTTTTTTTTTGCGCCAAACCTCTTTCTCTCTCTCTCTCTAAAATTTGATTCTTTGTTGTGTTTCTCTCTCATATGAGGACCCTGTGCCCCAACCTGGACCGAGAAGATGGACTGGAGACGGTGCTTGAAGTCCCAATCCCAGAAGAGACGTTTGGGTCCTCCAAACAAAACAGATCATGGCAAAGCATGACATCATGTATGCGATCACACGTAGAAAGGTCAGCCCAATCCGTCCTCAGAGCCAGAGGCGCCGAGATCCAGCTCTTGCTCGGTGTCGCCGGAGCTCCGCTAATCCCTCTTCCCATCCCTTGTCTTCAACCCATCAACAAAAACATCAAAGACTATCCCATTGTAAGTCAAAATTTTATCACCAACGTCCAATTATTTTACTTTTCTTGACTGGTGCACTTAAAAGTCTTGGGATTTTTTTTTTAAAAAAAAATTTATCTCCAATTTATGGTACTACAACTATCTGGAGAACATGATCATTTCTAATTTTATTTGTTTGTGCATTGATTTTGATGTGCAGGAGGCTTCAATGGCGAAATATATAGTGCAGCAGTACATAGCTGCGTGCGGAGGTGAGAAGGCGTTGAACTCTATTGACAGCATGTGTGCGACGGGGAAGGTGAAGATGTTGGCGTCGGAGTTTATTGGCAGAGATGGTGTAAGTGTGGGGTGTAGGGGGTTGAATAGTGGTGGTGGTGATGATAAAGCAACGAAGGTGAAGAATGGTGGAGGAGGAGAGATGGGAGGGTTTGTGGTGTGGCAGAAGAGGCCAGAGCTGTGGTGTTTGGAACTGGTGGTGGGAGGGTATAAGATTAGTGCTGGCAGTGATGGTAAAGTGGCATGGAGGCAAACTCCTTGGCACAATTCCCATGCTTCTCGTGGCCCGCCTCGTCCCCTCCGTCGTTTCCTGCAGGTTCGTCGTTTCTACAAAAATTTGTTTATTAACAGTTTTTTAAAAATTCAATTATAATTTCTTTTTTAAAAGAATTCTTTTTTTTTTTTTTTTTATAATTTTCAAAAAATAATTTTTTATTTTCCGAGTGTTCCTAAATACCTTTGGAGTCACCGCCGTAGAGCTTTAGGTGTGATTGGAGACGCTAAAATTTTAATGCACTTTTGTTTTGACAAATTAACTCATTAAATATGGGTTTAATGTTTAATTAAATTATTTAATTGGTCCAAGCTTGGTCCACTTAAATTATTTAATTAGCCCAGCCTACATGATTAAATGGAAAGATAATTATTCCTAATAATATATATTTGGAATAATTATTTTTAAGGATAATTATCGTAATATAACTGGCCTGCTCAGTTATAATTTTATCATTATCAGGAGATGACACATGTCATCATCCTATCAACCCAAGAAGCTTATAAATAGAGGTTTGGAGGAAGAAGGAGGGAACACATAAATTCAGAATTCAAAAATCTAGAATTCCAGATAGAAATATAGAAACTCTCATCCCCAACATTCAAACCCAAAAGCAAAGAATACCAAACATATCAAATCGTGTCGTTCTTCATCATCAAATTCCACGGTGATCAACAATAAGCACATCCAAAGACGTGTCGTTCTTCATCAAATTCCACGGTGATTCAAGATCAAGCTCGTGCAGCCCTTGGATCCAACCAACCAAAAAGGAGATCGAATCAGAAGACCTTATTCTTTGTAAAGAATATTACAAAGGATTGTACTCCAATTTTTTTCATTTTAATAAAATATTATTTTTTGTTTCATATTTTGTTTTTATTTACAGACTACAAAATTTGTGTGTACAAATTTCTGGTACGCTCGGTGGGACATCCTTTGCCTCTCATCTCTTTTTCCTACCATCAAGTTTTTTCTCTATCAGATTCTATGGCTCCCCCTAAGACTCAGACAGATAAGAAAACCCAAAAGAACATCATTACTACAAAGGTCGACGCCAAAGCCACCATGAAAAGTGGCACGAAATCCAAATCAAGTGATGAAAGTACTTTGGCGGGCCTTGTGACACGTAATAAGTCCCAAGCAACCACGTCATCCAAACATCAACAAGACTTGGTGAAAATCAATCCTGTAAAGCCGGCGAACGTGAAAACTCAACATGTCAAGAACCTTGGCCTTGTTCCAGAGGAGATTCCGCCACCAGATTTACCTCATTCCATCTATGATGCTCACTCTAGTATCGGTTCACCCTTAGAGTCACCACGTCAGACTTCGGAGCAATCAATCACTTCAAGGAACGTTAACTCTCAAGACCTATCATACTTTGATGTGGTCGCTTCTATAATGACTGGAGCCGCCATGGTAGAGGAACAACTAGCAATTATGGCTCATTCTATTGAGAACCTCACAAAGACTGTTGAAGAAAAGGACTTGCAAATCGCTACACTGATGAACAAATTGGAAGTTCAGACCTTCGATGAATCAGCAGTGCAGTCTGGGAATCCTACAGCTTCCACAGCAGTGCCGTCTGGGAATCCTAATTCTACAGCACAAGGTACTCGCAAGGAGGACCCCAAACAAATGCTCGTGACAAAACAGGCGATTGGTCAAACCAATCATACTTCTTCAGTCTCTTCATTATCTGTCGAACAATTGTAAGATATGATAACGAATATAATCCGAGCCCAATATGGAGGCGTCTCACAAAGCACTCTCATGTACTCAAAGCCCTATACAAGGAGAATTGATAGTATGAGGATACATGCAGGATACCAACCTCCGAAAATTCAGCAATTTGACGGAAAAGGCAACCTCAAGCAACACATTGCCCATTTTATCGAGACTTGCAATAATGCCAGAACTGATAGGGACTTACTACTTAAACAATTTGTCCGATCCCTTAAAGGAAACGTGTTCGAGTAGTACACCGACCTAAAATCAGAATCAATTTGATAGTTGGAACCAAATGGAACGATAATTCTTGAATAGGTTCTATAGCACTCGTCGTACTGTTAGTATGATAGAATTGACTAACACAAAGCAATGGAAGGATGAGCCTGTAATCGATTACATTAATCGGTGGCGAGCACGCAATCTTAACTGCAAGAACCGATTGTCAGAAATCTCTACTGTAGAGATGTGTATGCAGGGAATGCATTGGGGCCTTCTTTATATTCTTCAAGGCATAAAACCTCGCACATTTGAAGAATTAGCTAATCGTGCCCATGACATGGAAATCAGTATAAAATCCCATGACGACAAAGGTTTGGTGACCGTAGAACCACGCAAAGATAAGAAGGATTAGAAGAAGGGTGACAAGTCATCAAAGACCGCTGCTAAAGATTCCATGGCTATCTCAACTACCCTAATCAAGATATCTGTTAAAGATGATAAAAAGGATGATAAAAAGCCTCGCCAGTTTTAAGAGAAGGAAAGACAGCGTCCTACGCTAAAGGAGTTAGAGAGGAAGGAAAACCCCTTCCCTGATTCCGATGTCCCTGACATATTGGAATGTTTACTCGGAAGTAAAGTTATAGAACTCCCTGAATGCAAACGCCCTTAAGAGATGGGACGTGTAAACAACCTAAAATACTGCAAATATCATCGTATTGTCAGTCATCCAATTGAGAAATGTTTTATCTTCGAGGAAGTGGTGATGAATTTGGCAAAACAAGAAAAAATCTTGTTGGACACAGACGAAGTTGTAATTTCAAATCATACTATTATTACTTTGACAACTTCTATCGTGGGGAGTGCTCATTCTTAACCTTCAAATTCTGAGGTATATTGCAGAACCATCAAGTTTGGCTCATTCGAATCAATCCCTATCTATCTTGGCCAAGGAAGTGTACTTGACGTTTCAACATTTGGAAGAGTTTTTCCTCAGGATGATGAAGAAGGATGAACTCTGGTGACAAGAAAGAAACCACGGAAGCAACGAGCTGACATGTTTTAGACTAGTTATTCTGACAGTGGGCAAAGGAAGAAGAAACCTCAATACCGCCATAGACAGTATGGCCATAATAGAAAATAGATCAAGAAGACACAATCATCCAAACACGCTTCTATGAGCAAAGGTATCCAGAAGCCCATTACTTTGCAAGACTTCTTTCCAGAAGAATATATAGATGATGAAGTTGTGATAGCTTATATGGTTTTAACTGAGAAAATGAGCCCTGATGATGAGAATAGCGAGGATCAATATGAAGCCCAGACTATAGAGAACCATGCAAAGGATGCAGCCATCATTGAAAAATTCAATGATGATGAAATAGCCAGAGGTACACTCGATTCATGTTATGCACCAATTGTTTTCACTGACGAGGATCTTC